TGAGCATCCAGCTACCGTCAGTAATTCAAAAGCAGTAGGTTTCCATGCTTACAGTCAATGACTGTCGCTAACTTGTCATTTCTCTTGTTAATAATCGCCATCTCTGGACATCCTTATGTTTAGGAATAAAGTAATGCGTTTGTCCACTCTAAGGTTGTTTACAAGGAAATGGAAAGACGGCATGTGGGTGGCTGTGACGATCTCACCCTCCATCACCAGATTACCTTGGGGGGTTCCCTGTTCAACACTCAGAGCAAGTGTGAGTATTCATGCAGGTCAGGGCTGTTCAAATCACGGTCCTCGAGGTCCGAGCCCTGCTGGTTTTCCAGCCTTCCTTTACCTGTGAGCCAGGTGTGAAGCCTCTGACCAATCAGAATCAGTAATCATTAAACTAACTACCTGAAAACAAGGCCTGGATTTGGAATCGAGGGCCAGAATTGAAGATCCCTGATGCAGAGCCTGTCATATGCTGGCTCCTGTAACCAGAACATAACCGGCCCACATGCACAGAACCCACTGGGTGAAAAACCACCAGTGCACAGCTTAGGTCAGATGAAAAGAATCCCCTTTAAAAAAAAAAAAAAAAAATCTAGTTTTTCCTTAAGATTGGTTTGTACAAATATATTAACATGTTATAATTAAAAATGTACTTTTGTTTCTGTATCCTCAAAACTACCATTACTGGTTTTCCAAAGACGGTGGTGGTGAACTTGCGCTTTGCCTGAAAATCTCGTACCTAGTGAAACAAACTCTGCATCTTTTCCATTACAGATGAGATCTGCCCGCTGCCAGTCCAGATTCCTGTCGTCAAGCCGGATTCTGATCGGGCGAATCCCAAAGTAGGGATTTCCTCCATGGCTTTCAGTGTCGACAGCCGCTACCTTGCGACCAAGAACGGTATGTTTCCTTTTAGTTCTTAATTCTTGATGGATGTTGGGAATTTCGTGTCTAAGTACCTACCTCAGGGATGCGGGACATACAGGAGTGAGAAGCTCAGCCCTGCTAGACAGCTTTGCTGATCCCTGATGTTTCTACCCCACGTTTGTACCTAGGGCCATACAAGCACATGGTTGTCCCCTGAAAAATTCTACCGAATGCCAGTGATGGCCAAATGAATCTTCATGAACCATTTGCTGTATTTTATGACTCCACTAGATGGCGCTCTCTGTTCAAACACATGCCCCAATGCAGACCAAGTGCCATCTAGTGGGCTCAAAAAAATACAGCAAATTATTCACGAAGCTTCATTTGGCCATCAGTACCCAGTGTCCCCCCGCCCTCCTTGCGAAACCAAAGCTATTATCCAAGCTCATGACTCATGGGTGCCCCTTTGTCTGGACCCCTTAAAGTCTTGTGGGTCACTGTCTGTACTAGGCACTGTGTGGATGGGAACTGGTGGTCTGTGTTTATTTCCCCATTCCGTCCTCCCCTTCATGCAGACAACATGCCCTCCTGCGTGTGGGTGTGGGACATCCAAAGGCTGCGTCTGCTGGCCGTCTTGGAGCAGACGGCACCAGTGCGCTGCTTCCAGTGGGACCCGCGACGTCCCCGCCTGGCCCTGTGCACTGGCAGCTCCAAGCTCTACATATGGTCGCCGGCTGGCTGCATCTCGGTGCCGGTGCCTGTCGAAGGTGAGGGCAGTGTGGGCGTCTTCCCGATCTGTCACCAGCAGGAAGTGTGCACACCCACTGTTTTAGTGCCATTGTGGGCACTTTGCACGACATTACTTGCATAGCTATCAAGCTCACACGGTATCTGAAGCTTCCACGTTCATTGTAGCTGTTTAGCTTCAGTATATTGCTCAGAAGTACAATAACAGGATGCGCTAATGGTGCTTTTCCACTGGCATACAGGAACCGAGCAGTGCCTGAGCCGTATCGCGAAGAGAGACTAGTTACAGTGCGATTCCTGCTCACTTTGGTTTTCCACTGCATGAGGGTCTGCTTGCTAAAGGCCGGGATTGGTTATACGTCACTAAGAGACGCTTATTTACTGTTCAGACGGTGTCCATCATGATTTACTGTGTGCTGATTCCCAGTAGCATGTCTCTGAGAATTGCAGCATTATGTTAGCCTCAAACGCTAGCAGAATTTGTAATCGCTTGCGTGAACTTGCATTAGGTGCAAAGTTTACAGTACTCCTTGGGAACTCTGCTTTACAGAGTAAGAAGCTGCAGTTTGGATGTGTTCTGCTGTGCACAGGTAGGGGGCAGTGTGTTACGGGCCCACGCTCATAGCTGATTCTTAACGGCAACTCATACTTGCTCTATAGCACTATTATTCAAGTCACGGTCCTCGAGGTCCATGCACTGCTGGTTTTCCAGCCTTCCTTTACCTGTCAGTCAGGTGTGAAGCCTCTGACCAATCAGAATCAGTAATTATTAAACTAACTACCTGGGAGAACTGAAAACAAGGCCTGGATTTCGAATCGAGGTCCAGAATTGAAGAACCCTGCTCTATAGTATGCGAAAAATGACCCACAATGCCCTGCAAATTGAAGTGTACTGAGGATGTACCAATACCATGTGCATCATAGCAGTTAGGTGACGACTGTAGTCAGCTGTTCACTTGTGCAACATGATGGTACAATGGGACAATTTTGTGTATTTCTGTTAAAATATTTTAGAAATGAACACTTGGTACCAGCAAAAGCTGACATTTCGTTGCTCAGGATAGCATTACCGAGCAACTTGGTTTGTCGTGTCCTAAACTATCATCTTGTTTCACTAATTCTCTGTATAGGGAACTTCATAGACCTTCCTAAATATGGAATATTGGGCAAGTAAACAAGTGAAGCCTTTTCAGTACATTGCTTGTTGATACGTCTCCGTCCCTCTCTGTCTGCCAGGTAGCTTCCCGGTTCAGTCTCTGAGCTGGCACAGCAGTGGCCAAGCCCTTATCCTGCTGAGCAAAGAGCACCTGTGTCTGTGTTACCTGGAGACGGAGGCCGAGCGAGGCGACGTAGCCTCCAGCTAGCGCTCGGCACAGTGAGAGCCGTCCGGGCCCCCGCCGGGCCCCCAGCACGCCTCTGCTCACACACACTGCGCTCCACCTGCGGGGGGCGCAGGTTTACATTTCAACGGCACAGGTGGCCAAGACACCTTTTGATACCCTCACATTTCTTCAACCTGGAGGACTTTTATACCATTTTATAGAAGAAATTAAAGTAATTTATTCCATGTGGTATGAATCGCTGTACATATTTTTAGGTAAGTGGAAATGGCTTGACTTTGCATATCTAAAAAAAACATTTTGTAGGCCCATATTTTTCAATAAACTTTGGTATGACTGTAGTAGGTTTACTGTTCATGTTTGTTGGTCAACTCAGTCATATCAGACTGGAAACTTAACAGAAATGAAGTACAAACTATATTTAACATCAACACGGCCGAGTAACTGCTAGACTGCCGTAGTGAAAGTAAGATCTTGTTTCAATAAGCAGAAATTTTATGTTCCAGTTAAGTCTTATTACATCTTTCTGAAATAGACTTCTACCTGGGACACAGTGGAAGGTCAGCTGTTGGGCTGTGATGTGATGGGTCATTAATTTTGTTTGTGGGATTTTTGGGAAATTACAAACACGACCCCCTACTACAACCAGAATCTGCAGTTTGAGAGCCAGGCTATTGCACACAGGCTCATATTCATGGAATAGTTAAATTCCTGCTTCAGGGAAATGTTCAGCACCTTCCAAAGACAGTTGGTCTGTCTCCTCTAACTGCAGACCACAAGCGTTTTGAAAGTGCCTAACAGATGCCGTGGTGCTGCTCTTATGCAGACTGCCAAATGAAAATTTAGGCAAGAAACATTCCTATTGGACAGTCATAATTTCTAACTGAAGTTAGCCCAGGTAACTGAGAAATCCTGCTTTGTAGAACACCCCTTAGGACAGATCAGAGGAACAAACCAGATTAACTTGTAACTGCATCACTCCACCTTGGGACAACGGATAGTAAACGAAAGTCTGGAGCTTATCCTGATAGCATACGACTCCCTGCGACGGGGTACCGCGGTCATGGAAAACCTGGAAAAGTTTCGGGATTCTTGGATAGAGAGGAAAAGTTTTGGAAACTAGCCTTGTTCATTTTTGTTTCCCGCTTCGTTCCACAACGCGCTAATGGAAATGAACGAGCGGAAGTCAAGTTAACTACCTTGGTAAACATCCGTTTCCAGCACTTTTAGCGCGCCGATTTCGCGTGTTTGAGATCGCTGCTTTTTTGCTAGCTATACCAGTTTTTGTTTTAATTTTTTTGCACGTGTTTGAATTTTATTGATCAGTTTCCCGTTTTTGACTCCGTTTGCCTCTACCAATCATAAGGTATGTATAATTTTAATATTGGGATTCATTTTCTTAAGTGAACAATTGAACAAGTTTTACAAACTTGTGGGTTTTCGAAAATTTTCTTATGGTACTGAAAGTTTATGTTAAGGTCATGGGAATTTATCCTGCCGGAATTGGGGGACCCCTGGCTTTTACCGTCCTCCGTACTGGAGTATCGATACTGGTCTTTGGCAATAGAAGATGATGTAAAACAGGTACGCGAGAACGCAAGTATGGTCAAGGCTGCAAACTGGGAAACGCCGGCTTCTGTGACAGGCAGCTGTACCTTTTAAATATCAACGTTTCTTTAATATTCATGATGCATGTACATCTGGACTGAGCAACAGCTGGCAAAGAAGTCAATAGCTTCAGCGTCACCAGATCACTGCATTTCCACTCACTCTACTGTCAGCCCCAGTGAACTGCATACGTACATCAAAGCAATGATGCTGAACAGGTGATACAGAAAGTGAAAAACTGGATCAATTCCCTGACTTTCACAAGTACAGGCACAGTTACAATAAACTATTTCAGGCCTCGCACACCTACAACCTGCAGAACACTGAATTCCTTCAATGAATGACAACGCCGTGTGATTGATACACACTGCAGGGACATTATAATCCAGGGTTCTTCTTAAAGCTCAGCATGTGAACAACAAACACACTATGGCCAGCAGATGTGGATGTGGTTTTTTTTAATTTTTATTTACATTTTTAATTGATGACTGAAAAGTGCAAGAAGCTAGTGACAATTCAGGTATTCCAGAATTACTCAATGATGGGAATTACTTTTATCAAAACACAATGGTTGCCCCCCCCAAATTTAGACTACACTGAATGTATAGTCCAAAACAAACAAAAAAATAATCAAAACAAGCTGAGGCAAAGCAAATCAAAGTTTATACATTTTGTAGTTATATATTTGTGTTGGGCTAAACTGTGGAAGTCAAAGCGATTGTTGTGATTAATCATCATTAACAATCATTGATATACAAATGTTGTACGAAGAGGTGCCTTGTTTCTAGAAGTTTCTGCATACATACATTATCTAGAAAAAGCATTTCAGCAAAATGGCACTTCTCCAGGACAAACCAGATTGAAGACTATCTGTACCTTTCAATAAACTTTGGCTCGAGTCTCATTTAGAAATGTTGGCTATTTTAAAATTTAAGACCGTGACCTCAGATGATGCACAGGGGCGTGGCAAAACAAAGCAAACACTACAAGCGGAGATATTTAAAGTAAATAAATCGCAATCACTAGGGCTGTCAAACAGGTAAGTCTTCCGCTGGATTTCCGATATCCGTGGCCAACAGCTATTAAAGTGGTCTGGCAATCCGCACTCGGATACGTGCTTCCAAAATAACACGAGGCAATGAACAGTGAACAAGAGAGATTAGTGAAGATTAGTGGCGTTCGCTGTACAGAACAGATGGAGGACTTGGCATAATGGCGGTTTGCCACATGTTGGTGGATCTGTAAGAGTGCAGGCAGCCATCTTGTGGAGGTCATGGGGTTACACTGCTGGGAATTGGCTGGTTGTACAGTAACCAATGAAAATGAAGGTATTTTACAGGACCAGGTACAACCCACGGTGCAAACAACGTTCTTTTATGATGCTCCAATGCATGCAGCTGTAGGGTGACTTCACACACACAAAGTTCAAAGTGCAAAGTTTGCGCTCGAAGCGCCGCCTCCGTCACTTGGTGGATAGAAGACATTCTTAAAGATGGATATAATACTCCAGGACTGGCATGACAGCACTGCAAGGACAACTATTAAGCCGTCTCAGTATTGGGTGTTATTTTGTCCACCTCCTGAAAAAACATCTTTTAGGCAGAAAATGGTTAGCAATAATGTAGAAAAACGTGATCCGGTCAATTCAGTGCAAGCATCCAGAATTTTATCACCCGTTTCAATTCCTGGACCCGAGTTTTCGTCTTTTCAGGAAATCCAGTATTACCCCAAATTAAAATAGCACTTATGACTGACATAAACCCACTTCAGTACCGCGTTTTCCATCACATCTGCATAGGTGCGTATCGAAAGATAATCCATTTGTAAATTCACTGGAAATCAATCAACACTGTGCTTTGAGTAGCTGCAAGCCATTGCCACTGCATAAACGTTTTTCTCTTTGTATATCTTTGGCAATATGTACAGAATTTGCCTTTTACATTAAAGACATTTAATCAGGACATGTGGAATGTAAAGGTCAGACCGTCACATGCATACTTGTCGTGCAAAAACCATGCAGGTTACATTCAGAAATACAGACAGCACTGAAGAAGCAAACTCAGGAATGATTCCAGATGGGCGGTGAGTAACCCAAGCCGTTCTCAAGCAGATGCACGTAGTGAGAACGGTGAAGTTGGAAAAACTAATCCGGCTCCAATTGTCCGTGTTTCCCAGTATATTTATAAAAATGAGTTGTACCTCAGATGAGTTAGCAGTTTATGCCTCAGGAACTATTCTGCAAAAACTGTTGCAAGCTAAACAAGTGCTACTCTTGCCATCTGTGGCTGTTAACACAGTATGTCTGTAAACACTGAAAAAACACTCAAACACTAAAATGATTAGCCAAAATGTCAAATCTCAAAGACCACAAAAAATGGACCAACATCCCAAGGCCTGTAAACAATTTTCACTGATATTGACCATCATCATAACATTAAAACTTTAACTTCCTCAGGTTGAATCACCAGAAATGCAGCAGCGATTCCTCTCATGTAACACTTATCTGACATTTGATTTTCTCCTCTTTGTTAATATTTCATTAAATTTTAATCAAAGCTGACGGGACAGAAATGAGCCAGCAATTTGCGCACTTTTGGGGCTGGGGGGCACATGGCCTCCTCACAGCCGATTCCATCACGGCACGACTAAGCTTCTCCATCTCAACAGAAAGGGCTCTGAGGAGCCTCCCTAGCTGTCACGAGGGCTCCGCTCTCTGGGCAGCCCGGGAGAGGGGTTGTAGACAAGGCGGCTACAGGGCCCACTGGTAACCGGGTCGCCCGTCGGATCCGTGGCGCTGTCGCCACAAGTGTCTGCGCATCTGAAACAAAACAGCAGGACGTTGTGAACAGAAGCATATTGTTACAGCAGGGGGCGCTGACGGGACAAAGCATGGTGAAGAGACCCCCTGCACGCCCCCCCCTCCCCCCAACACACACGGCTCACGGACATGCGTGGCACATGTCGCCGTGACGACCAGCCAGCGTCCGCGGGGACGGGAGGCCCGGGTGCGGCGCTCAGAAGCCGATCCGTCCGCGTGTCATGGAGTATCCCAGCTTGGCCTCGTTGTTGATGAAGGACATGAGGCCCAGGTAGGTCTCGATGAGCAGGGGTCGCTCCAGAATGAGCACCCCGTTGGCGCGGCCCGGGAGCGGGTTCTCCTTGTGGGCTTTCTTCACCGCCTGGATCAGCTGCAGCTTGAAGCTCTCCAGCTGCAGACCGACAGCAACCGGAAGGACAGGCCCACGTCACTCATTCCTCTTTTTCAAGTTTCACACAGGGGTGCTGCTATGTTCTCTGTCCCCCCCCCCCAAATTAATGTACAGTAATTAGTTTAAATAATGTGGGCCATTTCCATCAGACCCCCCAGCAAAGGCTTAGCCCCCCCCTCACAATTAAACTGTACCAAATATATAATATATATAAATACACACAAATAAATAATATATATTATAGAAAACATTAAATATATAGGTGTGCATGTTTAAGTGAATAGTGAGTGACTGGTGTGTGAGTGTGAGTGACTGGTGTGTGAGTGTGCCCTATGGTGGGTTGGCACCCCATCCTGGGTTGTTCCCTGATTTGCACCCGTAGCTTCCAGGATAGGCTCCAGACCCCCCGCAACCCTGAATAGGACAAGCGGGTAGAGAAAACGGATGGATGGATGGAAATATATGTATGCAGCTTTGTGGGACCCTTAGCTAATCAGCCAGTGGAAGTTAAAAAGCCACGGAGAAGAGCAGCCTCCCCACCTGGCAGAGCGAGACCACCTTCTCGTCAGCGCGGGCCATCGGGTGCTCAGAGAAGGTGATGTAGGGCATGTTGGTGGACCACGGGTTCCAGCGGTTGAGGAAAGACGCCCGTGGCTGCTTGTCCCACTGCACCCGGATTCCATAGCCATCCCTCCTGGGGGGGGGGGGGGGGCAGGAGAGCAGAGCACATTTTTTTTTTTTTTTTACAGGAAGTGGTTTGACCTTTGACCCTCCCCTCACAGTATCAACCCTGCTTCAGCTACCCTGACATGTGGCTTTAATGAAGACTAATTACAATCCTTTTCGAGTGGAACACAATACATCTACTGTTGTGATCCAATGTGATTAACGCACCAGGCGATATCAGAAACCTCATATCCATTTAACTGTACCAGGTACGGAGATCCAGTTCAATTAAATTCAACGAACTCTGCATAGCTCAATAGCTGCAGCACATACTGGCATAATGAGACTTAATGAAGGAAAGTATCACTAGACTGGGAGCAGCAGTTAGCAAACTAAAGAGAGATAACATCAGTCAGAGCAACATATGGGTGCAGCTATGAAAGATCAAGTCATTAGGACGGGGGGGGGGGGCAGACACACAGGCCCTCACTTGTTAAGTGACTTGGGGGGGAATTCAAACTCGCCCACGGAGATGGTGTCCACTGCGTTCAGGGAGATCCTCACTACCTGCTGACACTGCAGGTTGATGAAGTCGTACTTGCAGACAAGGAGGGACCTGGGAGGAGAGAAAATGGGGGTCAAATGTACGAGAGGAGCAGATCACGTGGTTTTCGACTGTTCAGTTTTCTCTTCATTACAAAAGCAGTAGATATACACAAAACGTATAAATACAAATACTGAACATTTAAAGAATTAATATAAGCAGCAAGTAGGTAAATCTTACCTATCGGTGATTAGTACCAGCCTCTCTTTCTCATTATTCCAGTGGTCTATTCTGAGGAAGACATTTAGAGACACATTTATGTAGGTGAAATATTCAATTAAAAATGGAGAACTTAATCTTTATATAGAGCTGGCATTCCCCATAAATGCACCATCATCAAAAAGCACTCAGTAGACTCAGTGTAACGCATCTTAGAGCGAACATATGTTAAAACACTACTAATTCAGTAATCATATATCACGCTACTTTTCCTTAATGTTGACTAACGCAAGTGTCTATGTCTCCCTCTGCTGGCCGGTTCAGGTACAACAATAAAACAACAGCTTATTTAACGTACAATTTGTGTGGGTGGGAACTAAGATCACACTGTTGCGAAAATATTTGCTTTTTAACGATCCATATGGTTAAAAGTTTGGCTTTAAATTAAATCTTGGCATCTCTTAGCATGTGTGTTGCGCCTGTGTATTTCCAGGCTGGTATGGCAGTAACGCGGGGGCCCCACGGCGCTCACTCTGCCAGCAGCCACACGCTCAGCACCTCGCCGTCCTCCGATGGCAGGGCCACGGTTCGGATGTCGTTCACCGCCTGCTCGATGGTCCCTGGCTGGAAGGAGCAACGTGCTGAAAGGCACTGGCACATGCATGGACGCCTACCCTCTCTTGGTTGGTGTCAGCCGCCCATTAAAGAGCGAATATAAACAGATGCGATAAGAGACACTACAGCCATGTTACTTTAAATCGTCATTTAATTTGCATTCTGCTCCGTAACACGCAAACAGTATTTTAATCCCTTAAAAGTGGAACCAGTATTGCGCATTACGATCATTCATGCTTCTATGCCAACAGGGTGTAAATATTGACACCGTGGACGTAGGTTATTTGGGGGGAAAAAATAAAGGATGATCGAATCTGACAAATTGCTGTAAAATCTTACAGAAGATAATGATCCATCTACAGAACTAGGCAATAACGTGATTTAGGGTCACTGCCTTTATATTCTTCGCAAAATTTCATCTCGAACCAGCTTCCTGATTTATAGAAATTGCTACGCAGAAATCTGCGGCTTGTGGTTGCGGACCGATTAACGGCAGCTAATATACTCACTCTAAAGACGAAATAGTCTTTGACTTTCGCTTGCATTGTCGGGTTGTGGATATGAAAAGGCGTCAGTGTTTGCAGCGGGGAGCAGCAGGCTACCGAGGAGCCGTAGCCCCGGCTGGGCCCGGCTCCGGGCGGAGTAAAGGCGACCTCCACACCGTCATCGCTCGCAGCCGTATCCAGCACCGCGGCTCCGGGGCTCGCGGGCTCCACGCTGTCGTTCAGCTGCAGCATCATGCAACAGGCTAAGCGATTCTGAGCCACGAAATAAAATGACAGGCGCGATTAAATGTCTCGTTTGACTGTTTGCGATGTCTGGCGGTGGGTTTGGCGAAGCAGGCGCACATCGGGCTGTACGGCAGCGGACGGCGCAGCTCCGAGGGGCCGCCCAGCCCAGCGGTGAGTGCGGCGCTGCGCTACTTCCTCCGCGTCGTTTCCAGCATTAAAGCGGCCGCGACCTTGGTTTCGACCGAACTGAAGGTTGGATACAGGTTGATGAAACATGGTAGCTGATAGTTAAATACTAGCCCATTTCCCCATAATTATTAGTCTAAATATTAGTTTCTGTAAATACATGCCATTTGTGCATTTCACTTTGATCCCTTCTGCAATTCTAATATTACTACTATGAATGGTTTAAACTGGAAATTCAAAATTGATTAGATATAATGTCTATTCTGGCATTTTGTGTGGTGCAAACTAACGCGCAGCGGAACAAATGAACAGATAAAAGGCGAAAATGACATTACATATAAAAAGCACACAGGTTTTTATTGCATATCAATTTCATGTATAAATTCTTCATAGCATTGGAAAGATTACATTTGGTATACATTCCTATTCTACAGAATTAACATCAGAATCAGAAAATCTCCTCAGTTGAATTCCTCTAAAGTACATCTTCGATAATCACAAGCATCAAACTGTAATTTCAGATTTTCAGTATTATTCTACAATCTTTTCATATTTTTTTTTTCATAATTTCTCTCCCACAAGCATATTGTATTTTTTAATAGCCGCCTGCCCGCTGTGTTTTTAAGGCAGTAAAGGACTCGATGTCTCAGATCTAATAACCTAACCACATGTACAATAAGTGCATCTACGGATTTATTTTTTTTTGTAATTATTTTGCTCTTTTTAAGATTTTTGATACACATTTCACAAATGGACACCATTATGACCGCTAAACACAAGTCATGCACATTAAATTGTTTTAATAAACATAACAAAGGCGATATACAATTCAGATCCAAATGAAACAAGCACCATCCATTTTAAACCCATATATTTTAATGAATTTTCAGACATATGTAACATTTGTTTTTAGAATACTATACACTTGAAAAGAAACCATATTATCTCCGCTTGTACTGTAACCGTGGGAAAAAAATCAACCTTGTCAAGTTAAAAACTCAGTGACCCTTCATCTATTTCTTAGGAAAACTTGCAATGTGATCAACCTACAGCGCGCACTTATTACAGTAGTATGTGACACGAATTTATCCAAGGTATAGTTTATATGTATTAATCCCAGCGGGTGAAATCATTTTCTAAAATACTGCTAAGTCCCGGTTTGTTGTCCTGCTAATGAATAGTGCCACTCATTTCGTTTTAATTGCTTGCGGTTAACAATGCAACACAGCCGATGTAATGCTGCCACCTGCTGGCAAAATTGTACATTACAGTGCATCATTTTAAAAAAAGTAATTTGCTGGTAGATATGTCGTCCTCATTTTGCCTGTTTCCTTACGTTATACCACGATTTAAAAAATCAAAAAGGGCTTTATTTCTTTTTAAAAATACGTCCAGCTCGACATTTCTTTAACACTTTCTGAGACAGGATAGAGACATGGATTTTAATGCATGCTTATGCACCCGGGATAAAAACGTAGAAATAGATTTTGCTTTGCTGGGTATGTTAAAGTCAACTATTTGACCTACGATCACATACACAACTTCTCGGTTCATTTGATACAGCATTCCCAGGCTTTTTTTTTTTTGCTTCAGAGTTAAAGTGCTTGTCTGAACCAATTTCTTGTCATCCTGAATTTCCTAACGAGACCAGCATCAGGTAACAGAGCACAAATATGTTGATTAATGCAGCAGCGTATTGTTAGGTGAACACCAAGTAAGTGCTATTTCTGACTCTCCACATGGCCTGGAATGGACGTCTGGAATGATTTAGAGAAGGAAAGAAACGATATTTTAAAAGGGAGGAGGAAAATGATTTAGCTTCACCCAAGACTGAAATAACGTTTCTATGTGGTGCTGTTTGGGGGCCCGCATTTCAAATGAGCAACATATAAGGTGTAAAGCTTGTCATTTAGCGGCATACACACATTCAATGTGAACAGTTCCACTTTTTTCTGTTGTACGATTCATTTGCTGGCTTCACAGTTGCGTAAAGGTGCCGCACATGGTCTCAGCGCCCGACAGCGACGCCAGACGGCCGAACACCCAAACTGCCGGCAATCCCGGCAGCCCCTGCCCCCCCTCCACGCTGTCACAGCGCGGCAAAGATCTGCACCCTGCACCCGAAAAGCCCTGCCTAAGGCGTTCTTTCTCTTCCAGAGGTGGCTACTCGAGGTCCAGACAGCTATGGTTGAGCTCCACAGCACGTATGTTTACACACCCAGTGGCTTTTTCGTTTGTCTCTGGTCTCCAGGCATTTTTTTTATTTTATTTTATCAAAACGTGACGATTAGCTGACGCAGAATCTGGTACTTCATCGTACTGCCTCCATCTAGCCATTGCAAAGTACCACGTGACAACTAAGCGTGTTAGAAATGAGTTACTTGCTCAGGTTGAATTTCACAGCCGGAGTAACTACACTCAGTTACTCTTTCACACACTGTAAAGTTTTCTTGCACTATGATATTTTGTTCTGTCTTACACCTATGTCAAACTCGAAACTGTGTAACTATGCATTCCAAGCACAAATATCAAAACTTAAACTGTAGAACAACTACAGATCACAGTACACTGGGGGGAGGGGGGTCAGAATGTGATGGAATAATAGGGAAGGTTGCATCTTATTTGGGGGGGTGGGGGGGGACATGGTTGTTAACTTTGTTTAAAATTTTGATTATGGGTTTTAAAGTCCCCAGCATTAAGGTACTCTGACATCCGCAGTGGTCCATGCACCACATACAAGGGGGTGGCTTTCTAGCACGGCTAAATGAAGACCTCAACCACTTTTCACACAAAACACTCTGTATATAGAAGGAATTTGCTGGACGGCACCAAGACAAACCAAACCATACAATGAACACTTAACGCAAAAATCAATGTCCAAACTAAGGACTAAATTGTTATAGATTTTTTTGAAAAACTGATTTTTTTGTGATTTCTTTCAAATTTGGCACACTGGTCTCTACAAGACAGCCTTGGAAACAGAGATTCAGAATCTCTACGAACTTTCCTACGACGTTTATTCCTTCAAAAAAAAAAAAAAAAAAAAAAAAACATCATCATATGGGCTGAAGCTTTCAGTTTGTCAATTTCTTTCTTCAATATGACAAAACAACCAAAATAAATAGGAAACACAAAACCTACAGGAAACCAAAGCAATATCAGCTACAACAGCAATGGAAAAAAACCCTTCAAAACGAAATGATTGTCAGAAAACAAAACATTTTCTATGGGTTATTTGGCACACGACACTCTTCCTACTAACGTCCTGGTTATTTTGTACATCACACATCAATATCATACAATTTTGGTCCTTCACTAAATAATTATATTAACATTTTAGCACTGTGGTGCCTAACAAAGAAACAATACTGTTTATCATAGAACAAATAACATACAAAACAAGGAAAAAATTATGCGTTGAGAAATTTATCTGATTGGAGGGAGGTGTGAGCATCTGCCGTTGGTGCTGATGGACAATAATTTAAGGTGGATGTTGCTGAGGCGCCATTAGCCCCCAGACGCTGATGCCTTTAAAGAATGTGCCCCCCCCCCTCCCCCCCTCAGCCAACTGAGCTTCCCTGTCCTGTTTCTTGAGACGAATATGGGGTGGTGGCCAAGGTCGCTTGTGGAGAGGTTTGTCTGTGAGGTGACTTGTGGGTGGGGGGGGTGCTTGAGGGAATCGCTTGGGTACTACATGCCGGGGAGCTGGTCCATCCTGTCAAGTGGGTTATAAGCTTCTTATAACCTTCAGAAAGCGTGTAGTGTTAGTGGAAATGTGGGACGGGGGGGCGGATGATGTTCTGATGTCCCTGTGGGTGTCAGTTCACCCGATGGCTGCGGAAGCCACACACTCCAGGCCAGCGGCTCTGCGGCTCAGCGGCCGCCCGCAAACATGGGATCCGCCCTTCGGCAGCATCGTGGTTCAGCTTCTCCTCTTCTGGCGCCTACTTCGACTGGGCAGGGCGGCCCGTGCCGGATCAGCTCAGCAAAGGGGAGTTCGGGGAGGGCTACCTCGAGGAAGGCCAGGTATGCTTTGAATGAGACAGCTCTGGCTGTTCATGGATTGAGAGGGGCGGGACCATTGCGTGTCCTCCCAGCCTATAGTTGCTGGAGGGGAAGGAGATTGGGCGGCGGCTGAATAAGCTGTGTGATGATTGGCTGTTGGGATGAGTAGGCCCGCCTCCTCAGCGCTCTCTCTCTCTGGCCATTGATGTCCCCCCGGAGTTCCGCTCTGGTTTCACAGTCTTCCACATGGACGCTGTCGCCGCCGCCTTCCTCACTCTTTCCCCCTCTGCCCCCCCCCCCCCCCCCAGCCTCTCCCCGCCCATCACCCTTAGATGTGGTTGAGCGGATGAAAGCTGGCGCTCTCCGAAGGCCCTCCTCCCATGTTCAGCCAGGCCTCCAGAGAGTTCGGAGTGGACGCGTGTAAAGGGTTGTTTTCGGAGAGGGACAGCATCATTGCATAAGCCTGGGGGGGGGGAGCAAACCAAACAAAAACGTCACTCAAAACGGCACAGAGACCCCACCTGCTGGTGAGACTCGGAATGCCTCACACAGGGAGGACATGTGCTACTGACTACTGTCTAAGCGACATTTAGGATCCCGGTTAAACCCAACAGCCATGATAACCCTCTGAAAAACAGGCTCGTACACCCGATCGCGGCTCGTTTCTTCAAATCCGATAATAACTCCCATAATGCCCTATAATTATCGCTGCACCTGATACTCGTCACATCAGCTGCTGTACTACTGACACTCTGCCATGTTAGAACTGACTCTACAGGTCTTTGGACAAATATTTACTTCTGTATATAGTACAATGTACAGTACCAGTCAAAAGTTTGGACTCACCTACCCATAGCATGGTTCATTTGTACTATTCTATATATTTTACGTAATTATAGATATGAAAACTACAAATAATATATGGAATTATGCACGGACCAATGAAGCATTAAACAAAAATAATGTTTGGGGAGTAGTTCTGTGGGTTGGGACTCAGAAAGTTGCCGAAATCCCGTGATCCCACCATTGGGCCCTTGAGTAAGGCTCTTTAACCCCAATTGCTGCAGGTACTGCCTGAGTCTGCTTCCTCCTCCATGTCAGTTACATGAGGTGCCTCCTGGGATGCTCTTCCAGCTGTCCTGAAGGAGCTCACACATACATGCTCAGCACTCATTGGCCGCTTTTTTCGTCACTCTCCGGTCAAACTCTTCCCAGACCATCTCTGCTGTGTTTAGGTCAGGTGGCCAGGTCATGTGATGCATCTCTATCGCTCTCCTTTGTAGGCGGCTTGGCGTGTCCAAACCTTTGACTGGCGACGTAAAAATTCAGTAAAGGGTAACACATTTTGGCATTTTAAAAATATGTACAATTGAGCTGCACGTAGAATGTGTATAAACAGAGCTGTGCAGGGCAATCTACTGGCTACGAGAGTGGGAGGTGGGTATTAATGTCGTTAGTCAGTGGAGGGGGAGGGGTATGCTAGATGTGTCGATGGATAGAGGAGCCACGGGGCACAGTGATTGGCTGCCTCAAATGGGTCTCCAAAGGATCCACTCCTCAGCACGGTGGGGGTCACAGTCACCAAAGGAGGGGGGTCATTTTGAGGCTGGCTGAGTGCCGTGTCGCGTTTCGGCTGCCGGACAGGGACTGGCTGCCCTCAGCAGGGTCTCCCGTTTGGTCGTCCATCTCCGCACCTCCTACTGGGTGGAGTCACGTACCTGGGTCTTAGCCTGCCTGTACAGCGTCTCTTTCAGCGCCTCCGACTCTAGGGAGGCGTTAAAAATGTCTTTAACGTCAAAGGGCTCCTCCGCGGCCTTGTGAAGGTCCAGGCTCTTTGCGAAGCCTGCGATCGGCTCCAGGTCTAACAGGCCTGTTTCCTCCTCGTCAATACACCTGGGAATGGGGGGGGGGGGTGACCACGGGTTAGTGCTCCCCGACAGCACGACCCAGCTGTGCCCCGCCACCCCCCCCCCACACATACACACGCCCGCTGTTTATGCACAGGACACTGCGCATGCACAGGTGGGGGGGGAGGAGAAGGATGGCAAACATGATGAGATGTTGTGGGTGGGCGGGAGGGGAGGGGAGGGGGAGGCGTTCCATGTCACACCGGCCCCCCGTTATCCCGTCCGACTTGGCGCAGACTTAGGAGTCACACTCCAGTGCAAGTCGCTTTGTTGCTGCAGTGATCAGTACGCATAATCGTAATGCTACAGTGTTACATCTCAAAGCGGGGGGGGGGGTTCAAACACAGGCACGGCCCTAATCCACTGCAAGTAACTGCTGGCAGGATATGCAGCTCTTATGGGGGGGATATGGGATGGCACTGGCAAGGAAGGATGGACACTGTCCGCAAGGGGGCATGCTGCGCGTTCCGGCCGGCTGCCTCAAGCATGGAGATCGTCCTCCAGGGGAAACCTTCTGGCTCCATACACTTTGCAAAACCCAGTGAGTTATTTTGCTCTTCGGATGTCCATATGGGGGGGGGTGGGGGTCTTTGTTATTAGTAGAGTTAGATATTGGAGCAGAGGGGTTTGCCATGCAGAAGGACTTAGGCACAGGGCTACCGGACATGCAGCCTAAGGTGGACGATATGACATGCAATACCACACTCTGCAGCAAGGGGGCGCCTCACCTCCGGTTTTGCTCATAGGTCATAGAGAGAGAGCTGGACTCCTCTTCGTCCTCGTAGGTGCCCTGGGCTATAGCAGCCGGGGATGCCACCTCGTCCTGCGACTTCTCTGTCAAGCTGCCATCCTCATCCTCATCATCCCCCTCCAGCTCTTCCTCTTCTGCATCGGACTCCCTCCTGCGGAGCTTGGAGGCCGAGAGGGCGTGGCTCGGGGGGTGCTCCTCCTCCGGGAGGTCCGGCCTATAAGAGGAGTGGGTGGATCAGTACACCAACTTCTACTGTCCCGTGCCTCGTCACAACTGATCTTTTTTTTGTGCAAGAACCAAGTACAAACACAAGTGTGGGTCACTTTTCAGAGTGCTGCACTGATCCAAAATAAAGACGCGAGTGCCCCAAAGCCTCCGTTATGAGAAGCATACAACCTTCAAAATAAACACATTAACTAACACTTAACGAAAGACATTTCAAAGACAACAGTGGTATGATTAATTAGCTAATCCTTAAGGAAACTTTAGTGTGGTGCATAATCACTTTGGTACGTCTCAGTCAAAAAAACGGAGCCAGAGGAAAAAAAAGGGTTGTTCTGCAAACGGGCTATCAACACACGCCATTACGGCATTTTTATATATTTTTTTGCTTTTCCAGCACTGCTGGTTCAAAGTTTGATGTCATTTCCTGGAGCGAAATTGACTCGTCGAGTAGTTTACCACACCGAAACACATACAGACATTTATCAAGTCGGACCCGAATATGAGCACTGCTTGTTCTCCGCTTTCAATCCAGATTAAATGTCACATAATGAAAGCGACTCCCGTTCAGACAGGGCCCGTGTTCATAGAGACAGCGCAGTCCTGGATGGGGGACCTGGATTTTGTCATCTAGTCTAAACATGTCATCTTGGTGTTTGGGTTACCGCGTGTGGGGGGGTCTCCATCCATGTATCTTACAGATAAATGCCCCAATCTGACTCCCCCTGGGATTACCCCTGCCAGGCGGCATCTGCTGCAGCATTGTCCCAGTCTGGCATGTAGACCCGTGTTCGAGTGAGGCGACCTCGTCCAGCCAGCACTCCCAGAATCCCTCCTCACCAGCCGTCCTTTAATAAAAGTGCCCACAAAGGAGCATGAAGCCAGTTCTATCCGGGACAGACGTCGACCCTGATACGTTTGGATTCCCCCTGCCTTGTTTACGAGCTAGTCGTTGACGCGGTGCTTTCCTGGAACGGGGACAGGCGGCCTGTGAAAGGGGCCTCTTCACCGAGAGTCGTTTCGGGACAGACAGAAAGCAGAACAGTTATTTGAATTACAGATATTAAAACACCGGGTTTCGCTCGTCAGAGACGGGACGGACTATTGATCCCAGATGGCGGGGGTGAAGGGGGGGGGGGTTATTCTTTGGCAGACCCTTTCATGTGTCTCAAAGTGGGAGACCAACAGACCCCCCCCCCCACCTCACTGGCATGTAGAGGAGTGAAATCGAGCAGGATGATCGATGGCCTACAAAATATCTTAGGCTTGCAAACCATGGCAACAAATGTCACGATGCACAGCTCTAAAACAAAATGTCCAGCTGCCTTTGACACTATGGACAGCAGTGCTGTGGACCAAGGGTCACACTCTATCTGCACATAATGAGCATCTCCTAAATGTGAGGTATGATTTGGGGCATTTGTCCTCAGTGTGATCAAGCCTGCGCTGCCCACCCTGAAAATAATAAGGTTCTGCAGGAATATGTCTCACGTCTTTGAAGACAAGCATCATGCATTGCCCAGCACCATAGCCGTGGTCATCTGCTCTCTGGCCAGAGAGCTGAGATCCATCCCAGAATCCCACCCCAAGGTGGGTTAGGGGAGAAAGAAGAGGAGGAGGAGCACAGATGAAAAGCACAGGTAGCAAATTTTGATAAGAACGGGCGATTTAATAGGCCAGCCGTCCAAGGGCTCAGTCACACTGGCTCTATATGCGCTATATAAACAGGGTAAGAGCGTGTGTGTATGTTTGGTTTATGTATAAATTACACTGTGGGATCAAATGTCCCCAATGTGATGAAAACCTATTCTTTTGACGCTGTGGGGACCATTTTTTCGTTTCCCACAAGAGGAAAAAAAAAAAAAAAAAAACTCTAAAAAGTCTTTTATTTTGTTTGGTTTCCTATGGTTAAGGTTAGGGTTGGGTGGGGGTTAAGTTCGTCATTGATGGAATTAGGGTTTTGCCCATAGAAATGAAAGGACAGTTCACACAAAGAAGTGAATACAACCGCGCGAGCGGGTTTACCTATCCTTATGGGGACACAATGTCCCCATAACGTGATAAATATCTGTTTTTTTTCCCTTATGGGGACCGGTTTCCTGGTCCCCATAAGGGAAAACTCTATTTTATAAAAAACGGTGACTGCTATGAAAAAACTAAAAATGCAAAAACTCTTGTATTTTGTTTGGTTACTTATGGTTATGGTTAGGGCAGGGTAGGGGTTAAGGTTGTCATAGTTAGCGTTAGCATTTTTCCCATTGAAATGAATGAGTGGTCCCCATAAGGATATGTTTACCCTACATGTGTGTGTGTGTGTGTGTGTGTGTGTGAAACTTCAGCCACATCCCACACAGAGTGTGGTGGCTGTCACAGGACCCCCCCAGTGGGGGGTGGTGTCGGTGTTCGCTGACCTTTTATCGGTGGAGCTGGAGGCCTGGTTCAATTCGCTGTTGGATATGAAGTTGCGGATCTCAGAGAAGTAGGAGTCTTCCTTCTCGTCTAAAAGTGCGTGATTGTCTGGCTCGGAGTTCGGAGAAGAGATATTTGTTCCCAGGTTCGACAGGACCCCAGAGTGCTGACTCACTGAAAAGATAAAAGTCACGTCACGACATGGCATGCACGGGAAAATGGAGGGACACTATGCACGCCTTAAACAAGCCATGTTACACTTCAGGGCGTCTGATGGGATTCCCTATTGTGAACAAGACCGCCCATAAAGGGAGGAAGAAAGAGTAGGACGGGACCCAGACACCAGGGGGCGCCCATGAGTCAATGATCATGGGATAACGGTAGCTTTGGTTTGAAGAAGGGGGAGGGGACATCCATCTATCCATCCGTTCATTTCCTCAGCCATGTCTTTATGTGGCCCTGATTGTGGCCCCGCCCTATGTGAATTCCAGCAGTACTGGGGGGGGGGGGGTTTTAATGTTGTCGATTACTATCTAGAGGTGGTTTCCAGCAGCTGCCTTGGGATGGTGCTGGGGGGTGGGGCCGGTTCCCCGTTCACACCTGGGATGTTCTCGTGCTCGTGTTTCTTGAGGTGACGGTCCAGGTTGGTCTGCTGGCCAAAGCAGCGATTGCACAGGTGACATTTGAAAGGCTTCTCTTTGTTGTGGATGTTGCGCACGTGCCGTTGCAGGTTGGAGGATATGCTGAATGACCGGTCACAGTATTTACATCTGGGGAGAGAAGGGGGTGGGGGGTGCAGTCTAAATGAGTGCCCTGTTCCACTGTGTAAACACTAATCACTGGCCCCCCCAGGACGCCTCCGTCTAAACACTGCGGGCACTGATTTCCACTGATCTTGTTCTTTTCACTGGACAAATTTGTCACTGACCTTCTGACAGACAAAGAATTCGGCAGCTTCCGAGGACTGAAAACAGACCCAGCTTCACAGAATAGTGTGTCTGTCTGTGTGCGTGTGTGGTCATGAAATGTCCCCAGAATGTGATAAAACCTGTTATTCTGAGACACTGGGACCATTTACAAAGATCTGCGATTTTACAAAAATGCCATGCGTTTTTTTTGGCTGCTTATGGCTGGGTGGGGGTTAGGGATGTCATTGCTGCCATTAGGGTTTTGCCCATAGACATGGATGGATGGTCTCCACAAACATGCAAGTGTGTGTGTGTGTGTGTGTGTGTGTGTGTGTGTACATAGAGCCATGGGGATAGCTGCAAAGTCCGAGGGGGTCCACCCAAGCACCAAGCACCCCCCCCCCCAGTTGCAGCCCCAGGGCTGGCTTTGCACACCATGACAGAAACCTCGAATTCAGAGAAGATCAGTGATCTGACAAGCACATTAATTTCAAACAGCCATGATATATAGTCAATCTGAGTTTCAGTTTCAAGGGATTATCTACACAGACTTCCAGGTCATGAATAGCTAAGGAACGTGTTTGGGAGCAAACAGAGATGCTGCTTAAAGTCAGAGCAGTATTATGTTCTGCTGTCCGAGCCATAGGTCTGTCTGCCCGAAACCCCCACCCCACCCCACCCCAACCCCCAAAGAACTCCACACACTCATCGTTCAGACGCTCTCCAGGTGAGGTGGAAACAACATAAATAAATAAATAAATGCATAAAGCTGGTTTCCATCCACACTAAACAAACAAGCAGGTCAGACACGAAATCCACTTGGACGGGCTTTTAAGAAAACACGTCTTGAAAACATCTGGGACGAGACGGGCAGTGGGGATGGAAAACAGTGTTTTACTTAAATGAGGGGAAAAAAAATAAATCCCTATTTGGTTATGGGATCAAATAATATCCTGGATGCTTTACCAAGCCTCTTGAAAAGGCAATTTCAGGCATTGGTAAGAATGTGTGTACGTGATGGAGTGGTGTTCGAGGCTTATTCTCCTCTTAGGAGTACAAATCGTAAATCCTGCAGAGACAAAGAGAAGGATCTGTGAGCCATCGGCCACCACTGAACACAAACTTATTGTTTTACAGTGCGGTTCGCTGACCTTGTTATTGCCCTTGTGCACGCAACGTGCTTTACCGCCATGGCAAGACTTGTGAGCAGGCTAGCCCTAAATGCTACGCCTCATTAATACCCCACGTCTGACCCCCAGAGCTCAGTGCTGATAAAACAGATCTTGCTGTGGATAAAAGCAGCATTTAGCGTTGCTAACAAACAGCCTCAACGCTGATGAAAACAGCGATCGGTGTTGATAAAAACAGCACTTAATGGCGGTAATACACAATGGTCAGAAAAACAATGCTCAGCAATGATGAACCAATGCTCAGTGCTGAGAAAACAATGCTCAGTGCTGATATGAATAATGCTCAGCGGAGAGAAAAATAGCGCTCAGAACTGACGAAGAGCTTTGACGCCGCTCAGTGCTGGACTGCTGGCTGTTCCAGTGGACAGCGCAGTGAGTTTGTGCGATGAGTCATTCCATCGCGAGCTGCGTGCTGGTAGACAGTGTCGCCCTGTAGGGGGCGCTGTGAGCCCTGTACTCCAGCCTACCACGGCTGCTCTCCCAGCACGCCTGCCTTTCAGCAGTAATTGCTCTGGGAAAATGGCTCGTCGGCGAGCACTGGGGTCCTTTTATGTTCCCCACCGCGGTGTCTGTCCTCCACGTGGCCGATGACTTTCCAGACTCGGTGCATCATGGTTCATGGACAATGGTAGGACGCCAAAAATAGTTCTCTTTTTTAAAGGGCTGATTTTTTGTTGTTTATTTTTATTAGGGTGTCCAATGGGACTTTAAATGACTTCATCATCCAGGTTTTTTCGTTTTAATGTCACAGGGACTGCCGTTGGAGCGTTACGATCTGAATGGGGTCTTTCACTGGTCACCCAGAGTCGGCCCGCTTCTGCGTAAGCGAGACAGATACCATCTCCTTCGGTGAAAAGCCTTCCACAATGAGCCATGAAGGGGTTTCAAACGTCCCCCGGCCTCTCCCTGCCCTGCCTCCCCCCTTTTTCTGCCTGAGAGTGGAAGAGATAATGATGTCTGCCATTTGTTAGGGTAAATTGTTGCTAAATGAGCTAATCAGTGGGTTGTTAGGAGTGAGCTGAGCATGCGGTGACCCAGTCCCCGGAGGCTGGTCCCGGCAGCGCTCGCTGTGATAGCCGTCGGAAGCGATCTCCATGCTAGCGTCGAGCTTCTCTGAGGGGGCGGAGCTGCGGGCAGTGCCCGGCCTGAGCTCACGATCACCAACGAGCTCATTAACTTTGACTGGCATGTCTGCTAACCCACCTCATGTCATGTGTGGAAGAGGCACCTGTGCATCACCTTGGATCAAACTGCCTGCCAATTTAATGTGTCAAAGCAGCACAATTTGACACAGATGCCCACAGCAGAATTGATCATTACTGGGACTAAAGTCATAGTTGGGGTCCTACCTTCCATCCAGAGAAAAAAAAAAAACTGGGGCCCCCTACAACTCGGGCCCCTGGGCTAAAGCCCACCTTAGTCGCTGCATAAATCTGGCCTTGAAAGTATCCATGAACTGGGTTCAAAAATCCAGACCAGGATTTTGCTTCAACCAGTCAATTGAACAGAAAGAGTCAGTCACAGAGAATGCAACTGGTTGGTTGAAACTTCCTGGACCTGAAATTTCTACCTCTGCCTTCAACAACTTGACAGGGAAACCCAAAAAAATAAGCTGCAGCACTATTTCATGTCGGGCCGCTGCTATCAGACCCGGCTGCAGCCAGTGCTTGTGCGTCATCCCCATGCTGGGGACATCCAGCTGCTGGGGAGGACGATGGGACAAGGCTGGGGGTGGGAGCTGGGGGTGGGGGCTGGGGTGGGGCAGGTTTACACTTCGGTGAGACAGATTGCTTCCGGTAACCAGGGAATCAGGGGTGGGTGGGGGGACAGATTTAAAGTCTGCGGCCCCCTCCCCTTTTGCCCTGTCAGAGTGCCCTGACACTGGCCATTCCCCCGCCCCCAAAGTGGCTTCAGCCCCCAACCCTGTCTGCCTCCGCGCCACTGGAAGCTTCTTCGAGGCTGGTGGGTCGCCAAATCAACGATAATTACCCCGACCCATAAACAGAGCGCAGAGCTCCCCTGGGTGCTATTACGGCCCAACATTGTCCAGAACCGGTTCCCCCACCTCCGTAACATCTGGGCAGACAGAATCAATCTTCCTTCCCTTTCTACCCCCCCTCCCCGTCTCCAGCATGAGATACTTAAGTCCTCACACGCAGGAATGTATATCAGGCACTGTGTATACATAAAGAAATGGGCCGTATTCATCTTCCACCGCGCCTCCTCTCGCCGAAGCCAGGGAATGAGTCAGGCTCTTCCCTGCCACAGCAGAAAGAGAACTTGGCCGGGAAGGCGAGAGGCAGGCCGTGTTTGGCCCCGGAGCGTTCGCGCTGTGTAGGACCCGCATGTGGCACAGCGGCAGCGATCGGCGCGCTCACCTGTAAGGCTGCTCCCCCGTGTGTGTCCGTAAGTGCCTGGTCAGATTAGCCGACCTGGGGAAGATTTTCCCACAGTACCTGTGGAAATGGGAGAGAGGGAGAGAGCGGGAGAGGGAGTGAGAGGCGGAGACAGAGGGAGTGAGAGAGAGAGAGAACCATTACCACCTTTACTATAACTGACCAGACGCATTGGCCAAATTAAAATGAACTTTACATTTTTTCATATTCTGCATTTTCGGTTTTCCTTAAGTCATCTGTCATTTCCTGTACACCTCCGCTGGAGAAAAAACACCCTCTTACACTTAATGTGAGTGGACAAACTTAACGAAATGGCTCCGTGCCTCCTGACTTTCACCCAGGGAGGTTCTCTGCATGACAAATCCAAGACTCAACACGTTTACCTAAAACCCGGCTGCACTTTTTCAGATCAGTTTTAATAGACGCAGTCAAACGAAAATTCCCAAATCACTTCATAATGTAAGCAGCTCCAAAAAAAAAAAAGAGCTCTTTACTGCAGCCCTGCTAACATATCCAAGGAAAACATGGGCGGAGACGTTCACACTCCAAACAGCAGGGGGCGATGTGTAATCCGCCGGGACTGAAATGCCGTGGTGTACACATACCTGCAGGTGTAGCGTTCCTTGCCTTTGCGCAGGATGGCGTCCGGGAGCGAGGGTGGTGGTGAACGGAAGCTGAAAAGGGGGTGTGATGCATGTTGCAGTGCGCCAGGGCCGTCCAGCTTCAGCGGATTGAAGCTGTCCAGCTTCTCCGTCATGTTCTCCATGGCGGACATCTTAGGGTGCGGGGGAAGGAGAGCAGTCAAAACCAGACACAGGGACATTTTCTCTCCCACTGCAGTATTCTCACCAACAGCAATCCATCCATCCATTACTCAATCCTGTGCTGCCTCTAGCTGTAGGTAAACAGTACTTACTTGATTTGTCATATTAGGCCACACCCACCAAAACAAACATGCCAAATGTTTAACATACTCGGTCAATACTGATCTTTCTGATTCTGACTCTGGTCAGGCTTCCTGATGTCCCTCAGCCTGGCTGGTATCTGAATATCAGAGGCAGCAAGTGATTAAGTGCCTGGGCTTACGACCAGGAGGTTGTTAGTTCAAGACTCAGGAGAAGCTATGAAAGAGTGCCTACATTGGCTGAAGGTAAGTGACGTATCGATAAAGTGCATTGCTTTCGAAGGTAGAGGACTTGTTTTTTCTCTTTGCGAATCTCCCCAAATGCCAACACTACAGAACAACTGATGCAGTTTAGGGCGTCAGCGTGAACGGAGCACAGTGTTCAGTAGTGGTGCCAGTAGGGGCGTAATTAACCCTGCTTTTAGTTGGAGGGTGATGCGGTCAGAGTCAAGCTCACCGTTGCCACGGCAGCTTGACGGAGGCGGGCAGACGGGGACACCGAAGGGGTTTGCCTCATCAGCAGCAGAACACAATAGCGAGGTCGCGCAGGCTGGGGGGGGGGGTAGATTGGATCACTCCGGAAAGGCGGGAGGAAGCAGTATATCAGAGGGTCGGCTCTCGATTGTGCCACCGGGAGTCACCTCCCTGACCTATCGCACGTTCGCAGCCACTTGAGCAGCCCCTGGGGGGGGCGGGTCGGGGGGGAAGGCCACCCTAAAAGACCCATTCACGGGCCAGCGCCAAGTGTACAATACAGCCTAAGATAGCGCTCGCTGATAGCGCTTCCCAGCTATGCCGGGAACAAAGGGGCCCACTGCAGCCAGGCGGCTTGTATCCTTCCCTGCTGGGGGGGGGGGGGGGCCCAGATCGTTCGGTTAGCCTCGCACCCGCACCACTGGCCTGCATGGCATCCCTCTCGTGCCACGATCACAGCCTGCCTTTGTGTGCGTGATTATTTTCATAAAGGAAAAAAAAAAAAAACAACGTAGTGGGCAGCGGATGAGAGAAAGGCTGCAGGTTCGAGCCCGCCGGCTGCCGACGTTTCAAAGGCCGGGCCGCGGAAAGCAGGCACACCTGTGATTCAGGGGAAGGGGGAGGAGTTTGACGTTAAAAAAGGTAACTCATGTGGTGCGATATGCTCGATTCGCGGAGAGGGAGACCTGTCTGAGGTCCCTGGGTGGGGGGTCCTGTCAGGTGAGGCCTGTCAATACCAGCTGTCCCTAGGCCGTCCAGACACGGAGGGGGAAGATGCAGGCGACGGGGGAGGGGGCAGCTACTAGCTATTGATAGAGGACCAGATTTCCAGGTCAGATAAAGCATGTTCCCAACAAGAGACCCTATTCTACTGAACACAAATACAGGATGTTCCTGATGGACAGGGGGGCATTATCTAGCCGGCCAGGAAAGAAAAATGATGGGAAGTCGTTCGGCTCTGCAGTGCAAGTGGGGGGGGGGAGGTTAGGGGAACAATGGGCACTAACGGTGCGCTGCGTGGGATAGCAGCTAGACCGACGTGCCATTATTGTCAGCATTATCACTGGCGGTATCGCAGCCGGGAGGGTGACACGGCGGGGGGGGCGTGGCCAAGCAGTGCTGTTCCCGGCGTGAGCACGGAGCTGGCTTTTCTTCAGGGAGGCCTTAATACAATGGAGGGCCTGGATTTTCAAAGAGGGTTGAGGGAAAGCGAATGACATCATCTTTGTACGTTTAAGTCAATACGCCAGTTAGCCTGCTGAGATTAATGTTTAAAAAAAAACAAACGAAACAGCCCCACGGATCCTGGGCTGTTGGCTACGTCGGTTTTAATCACCCTCCTAGGGGCAAGGTATGCAAAAGGACAAGGCTGCCACTAGGGGGAGCCCTTAGCGCAGCATCGCTAATCATCCCAGTGGGTGGGTGCGGGGGGGGGGGGGGGGCATCCACCAGTAGAGGTATCTCACCTGTGGATGGAAGAGCAGAGGAGATGGCCTCAAGTACTTCTCTTTCAAAGCTCCAACTGGGTCAATCAACTTCCTCTTCTCCACCCTGCTGGACAACAGGACACAGGGTTACGTACGGAGGTCAGGTGGAACACCAGCTATACTGGGGTCCTGTTTCTGAGTGGTGTGGGGGCAGCTATGCTGAGGTTTGGTCTGTTCTTAGTGAACTTTGAAGATTAGGAAGGTGGTGCGATGCCGCATGGGGCTGGGATGTCCACAAGGGGGCGGCACGGGTCACACATTGATCAACTCGGGCTGAAATACCTGTAGATTGGGTCCATGAAAAAGGGGGAGGGCTTGGCGTAGTGCAGCGGGGGCTGGTGCTGGGGGGGCTGGTGCTGGGGCAACGGCGGCTGGTGGAGGGCCTGCGATGGCGGCAAACCCGGCGGCTCATCCTTGGACGCGTGCTTGGTGCCGTACACGTGGTTCCGACGGTGCTCGGGGATGGCGGTACCGCCGTTGTGGCTGGCCCGGCTGCGGCTGCTGATGCTGAGGTCCAGGGGCTGCTCCTCGCCAGGAGCGGGCAGGGCTGGAGCCCCAGGGGGCGGGGCCAGCCTGGCAGAGGGTGGGGGCTGCCGCACCTCCTTAGGCTTTGTGGTGAGGTCGAAGGGAGACTCGGCACCAGGGGCGGGCATCTTGTGCAGCTGCTCACGCGGCGACTTGGGCTCGGCCTTGAAGACGACGCCGGGGTTGAGTGCTCGCTCGGCAAAGGGGTAGAGCGAGTGCGGGAAGTTGGGCAGGAACTGGAACGGGAACATGGAGTGGTAGGGGAGCGAGCCCATCTTCTTCTCCTGCAGACCCATGAAGCCGGGACCGAAGTACTTCTCCGCGATGGAGGCGATAGCCTTGATGGAGTCGGTGGCGGCCCCCGAGGCTGGCAGGGCCTGCTCGTCCGGCGGGGGGAAGAAGGAGTGCTGGGAGAAGAGGAAAGGCCGGTCGCAGGGTGGGTTTCCCGAGCTGGACACGGACACCGAGCTGCTGCTGACGTCGTCCTGCTTGGGCTCGCCGGCTGGCTTCCTGCGGGCCTCGCTCTCCACATCGCTGTCCAGGTCGGAGCCCGACACGGTGCCTGTGGTGGTATCCAGGTCCGTGCCACTGGTGGTGTTGACATCCTCCAGGTCGCTCCCATCCGACGCGTCGCTCACCTTCGCCTTGGACTTGCCGTCACCGTACGGGCCGCCCAGCTTGGACTCCCTGCTCTTGTCGTCCCCGGGGTTTCCGTGGGCGCCGTCATTGCTGGCGGAAGATACCATGGGCAGGGCGGGGGGGTCCAGGGGTCCCCTGGGTAGCTTCCCCTCTTGGCCTCCGCCCAGTGGGCTCTTCAGCAGGGGGCTGGGGGGCAGCAGCGAAGGCCGGGGGTACAGCGACGGTGGGAAGATGCCAGGGAAGCCGTGCGGCAGCGCCGGGAAGGCAGGGCCGCCGGGGGAGAAGGGGAGCGCCCCCGGGTGGTGGGGTCGAGATGGGAAGTAGTCGTTGAAGCCCATGCCGGCGTGACTTAGGCCGTGGTGGGACTTGGACTTGCCCACGATGGGGCTGGAGGTGACGGGGATGCCGGCCGCGAACATGCCCCCAGGGCCGTAATGGTTCTTGCCCTCGCAGAAGCGCCGGTGCTTGTTGAGGGACGAGGTAGTGCTGAACATCTGGCCGCAGTCCTTACACTTGATCTGCGTGCGGCAGTCGGCGTGCATGCGCTTGTGGCGGCACAGGTTGGAGAACTGCGTGTAGGACTTGTGACAGACCTCGCCTGGCAGAACACAGAGCCCACACACACACACACACACACACACACACACATACACACACACCGGTTATGCTCCGCACACCCCCTGCTGGCCATAATTAACAATGCATGCTGCTATTCTGAAGCTACTTGTGATAATTCCTACAATTCAATTCAGCAAATGACATCACCATTAAACTTCAACTGGGATCAAAAGCAAATTCAACGCTGCTAATACATCCAGCCAAAAAAAGCATGCATGCATCCATCTATCTTACACAGATATATCTATAAGCATAAAGCACAAATATGCCTACATACTGCATTTGCGCATATATGCTCGTGTGACGGGACAAACACACACAGAACACTGAGAAGCAAAGCGGAAAGTCAGGGTATCAGAGACGTCCAGCCCCACACGCCAAATCTGTGTTTGGGATTGACGGTCTCTATGGAGAAAATGACTCGGGTTGGGTAGGGGGGGAGGGCTGACAGAAACAGAGGGTGGGGGGGCGGAAATGAAGGGCAGCAGAATTTCATTTAAAGCTCTGACCTATAGAATGACAGCCGCCTCTGGTTGGGGGCGGAGTCAGACGGAAGGTCTTGGGCTGGGGGCAATTATATCTGAGGCTACAGCACGACGGCGACTGCGACTTACAGATGAACGGCTTGACGCTGCTGTGAATGTGCTTGTGTTGCTTGAGCCCAGAGGAGGTGGCGAAGGTCTTGCCACACTCCGGGCAGGTGTGAGCTCTCGCCCCCACGTGCTGCGAGCGAATGTGGCGCTGCAGGTTACTGGGGTCTGTGAAGACCTGCCGGCAGGGAGACGCGTCCTTTGAGATATTCGTCTTCAGAACCAGACAAGCTTGAACAGGGGTGAATGAATAAGTACCCCCTCCCCTAGCCCAGTACCTTGTCGCAGTTCTCGCACTCGAAGCGCTTGCCACTGTCGTGGGACATTTGGTGCCGGATGAGGTTGGACTTCCAGTTAAAGGCTTTGGGACACTGATCGCATTTGTACTCCCGTTCCTCTGTGTGGACGATCATATGCTGGCCCAGGCTGCGGGAGGGGACCAGGGAGCAAAAACACCTCAGTTGGCCTGCACCACACTTAGCTGCCCCCCCCCCCAAAAGACGGTGCAGATGAGCGTAATAGTGATGGCAAAGCCTCAGTTTCCAATGGACAAAAATAGCTTTGGTGAGGTCTAGCAATGTTGGGGAAGCTACTCTCAAAAGTGATCCATTACAGACCGAGCTGGAAAGTCCAGGTCCAGAGAGTACAAATCCAGACCAGGGTTTTGTTTCAACCAACCAAATGAGTATTGTGTGAATGCGACTCTTTATACTCAACTGGTTGGCTGAAACGAAACCTTGGTCTGGATTTGTAGTTTCTGGACCCGGACTTTCCACATCTATCTGTAATGGATTTCCTTTGAGAGTAGCTTCCTCGACACTGAGGTCTGACCCAAGGACAGAGTTTCTGTGGGCCACCCTCAGTAACGGGACCCCACCCAAACTCCGGAAGTGACCTGGGCCTCTGTGGCTGACCTGTACTTGTTGGGGAAGATCTTCTCGCAGTCCTTGCACTCGTGCACCCCTTCGTCGCTGTCTTCCCGCTCCTGCTTGAGGTCTTCATTCAGCGTGTCGAAGATGGACCCGGCGCTGCTGCAGGAGTATTTCTGGTGCCGCCGGAGGTCTGGCTTGGAGGGGAAGAGCTCGTCGCAGTCCTCGCAGCGGTACATCTGCTCGTCTGGTGTGGGGCAAGCAAAACCAGGCCAGCCGTCAGCCTCCTGACATCCCCCAGAATTACCCAGATGGTTGGTGGTGTGCATGAGGCACCCAAAATCAGTGATCAGGTGCGCCGCTCTGCCGGAGCCAGGGAACCGACGCCGGGGCTCTTCTCTGAATAGCGGCTGAATTCCCGGGCTCAGATTATAATTCCATAAATAAATGGACTCCATAAACCAATAAATATGTTTTCAGAAAAGTGCATTTAGTGCACAATTAAAAGGATCTATTAATAAAAATAAAAGTGCCTCTCCTTCTCATTACATATCCAATTAACTCTCTAGTGCTCTGAATCGCCCACAACTGCATAAAACCAGAAAATCAATTAAAGATAAACCAGAGCCGCCTCCTGGCCCTTAATTAGGAAGACGGCAATTAGGTGGCACTGGGCAGCTCAGCGGCAAGTGATCCGTCCCAGATGCGTCAAGCATTTATGACACGGGCTGCAGCTTCCTGGGGTGGCATCCTGACTTCGCTTCAAAGTCAAACACCCCATGCTGAGGTGTACATTTTGCACTCGGTGTGTTTGTGTGTGCAGTGGGGTGGGGTGGGGTGGGGTGGGGGGGCTCTGGAGCCTCACCCCCATAGCCTCCTGGGAGCTGTAAGCGGGTTGGCGTGATCCGGATTGCACAGCCGTTGTGAGGGAACAGACTCCCTGGGCTGGTAAGAACCCGCAGACGTCGCTCGCCGGGGATATTTCACCTCCAAACACACCGGCACCGTTCACACTCCACCCCCAGCCTCTGACTGACATCTGAGCGCAGAAGCACTTTCATGACCTTCAGCGCAAAACACCGAGAAGGGATGAAAACTGCCGTCTATTTGAAATGCATAAAACACACACTGAGTCTTTCTTATCACGTTATTCTATAAAGGGGAATAAAAATTGCATGTTCTTAGGGTGTCAGCAGTCAGGCAGGGAAATTTCGTCCGTGCCGATCTGTGGAGGAGAACGCTGCATGTGTCTCCAAGTGGGAATTTGGGAAACGCCGACCATCCTGGTGGTCAGCTTCTGCCTGCACGTCTCTGTACAAAATGCATTTTTTTTTTTATTCACCAGAGAATTGGCCCTGCTTCAGCGTTTAGAAAGAAGGGGGGTCTGGGGGTGGGGGTGGTTAAATTATTGTGCCACATTATCTTTTTGTTCCATCGGTAACACTCGGGACAAAGGAAGAATGTTCAAGAAAAAATAAATGAGAGACTAATAGCTCTTTCAGAGAAGTTAGGGCAACACAATTATGTGCCGTTTAGTGAGTAATCTGCAAGCCTGGGTGAGGTCTCTGGGGGCTTCTTCAGCCCAGTTCTGAATTCCAGCCCCGATAAGCCACAGCGAGCAGCGGTGGGGGCTGAGGACGGGGGGGCGATCTCCCGCTTTTTGGCACAGAGATCTGAAGATACCTATCTTTCTGAGCAAACATTTTTTTCGTGTGCTAGAAAATGTCCACGGCTCACGAAAGCCTTGTGCTGTCTGGGTCGCCTCTTATTGCCCGTGACAAGCAAAATGTAATTGTGCTCTGGCCCCCGTCCCCTCAATCAAGAGCAACACAACAAAACGGTGTCCCTGACAACCGCACCTTAGACGAAGACAGTGCATCTCCCAAAGACAACGTGTGACGTTAGGGTCACTACCCTGCTGAGAAGAGCATGATGGGTAATCTGTGATATTTGACATATTTACTGTGACGAGGTAAAAAAAGTCAATCATATGGACAGGGACCACACAGAATACTGCAGCACAACTGCAGCAAAACACGCAGATGCAGCGACAATTAGATACTGATTATTCTGTGTGTTTGGGCATGTATATGTTCCATTGTGATAGAAAGCTGTTATTTTCATGTTGTTATTTTCATTTGTTCGGTCTCCACAAGGGGAAACTGAATTTCACAAAAATCCATGATTGCAATCAAAAACCTAAAAATGTCAAAAGTCTGGGGATAGGGGATTAGGGTTATGCCCAAAAAAATGAATGGATGGTCCCCACACAGATATGAATACAAGCATGTGTGTGTGGGTGTATACACACTCACACACACACACACACACACACACACACACACACACACACACACACACATAAACACACACACACATACATCCACTAAATAGAATGTGTTTCCTGTGAAAATAACACCTAACATATCATTTAATGTTTCAAGTTATTTAAAAAAATATACAAAAGGAATAAGTTCATCACCCTGTGTTGGTTCCTGATAGGTCATTGGTGACACTGAGGGCACCTTGATAGTGAATGTTTTGTGTAAGTATATCCTTAAAATCTCCACTTTCTGAATTTATTCTACAATTTCAATGATAGGCGACCCCTGTGTCAATGACCAAGAAAAAAAATATCAAAGGTTATTATTATTAATAATAATAATAATAATAATAATAATAATAATGTATTGTTGTCATTATTATTTTATTATTCTATTATATTATAATAACAATAATAAATATTATTATTATTATTATTAATAATAGTAATGATGATACTTCTGGTCAAATAATGGAGATAAATCATTTAATCATTTACAATACATAGCAGAAAAAAAATAAATTCGACTTGTCTAGGCACAACTGGCCCAGGAGAAGCACTTTTTTCCTTGCATTTTTAGTTTGTTAATTTAAGCAGCAACGACAACACAAAAAAACTAATGAATAGCCGACAGAAAATAATTAGGTTAAGTAATGGTTCATTTGTAATTACGACTGCAAAATCCAGGTCAGGTTGTCTTTTAGAGAACCTGTTTTTGTCATTGTTATTTGAAAACTACAAATTTGAGTAGTTAGGCCAATATTTGGACAAAGATCTGTCTATTGGGACTAAATGTAAACGTGTTATTTGTAGCATCATTGAGAGACAAAACGAACACTTCTGCCGTAACGCAGACAATAGCATGATCTCTCAGTCAAAAAAAGAAACTCAAAAGCCTAATTAAAGTTATTGTAGGCCCTAATGTACGCTGAGAACATCATTGACTTTTATCTGTGAACAATAGGCCTAATTGGGGATTAGCAGAAAACAGGTATGGGCAATTAACACCACAGTGAAGGGTGATTAACTTGTCGCGGTTATTTATCGCAAGGAACAAGTTTGTCTGGACGTTGCTTAGGGACTGGGTACGCCGTAAAACAGCTAATATGTCTGTTAGCGAAAAAAAAATCCCCGCTAAAATGGTCCAGGTTTGTTTAAAATATTCGTTAATGATACGTATTAATCTTACCTTCCAGATTGGGGGCCATGGACTCCTCAGGGAAGACTCCGTCCTTCATATAAACTAGAAGCTCCTCCCCCGCGTCAATATCCCTAATAGCTTTATAATAAATCTGTAAAAAAAGACAATATGTAAGGTAAAATTTAGCTTTATAAATGAGACCGATTTCATACATTCGTGAGTCCTTAGTTCTTTGTTGTAAGCAAATATTTGAGATGTTTTTAGCACCAAATTTTCACGTATTTAACGCAACAATGAGAAAACATAACACATGCAACAACATAATTTATTATTATTTAAAAATCTAATTCTAATAATATCAATGCTTAATCAAAAAATAACTTCTTGCTTTTACTTACATTGCTTATAGTTTAATTGTAATAATTCAAAGCATATTGATTTGTTTTTGTTCATTCAGTTAAAATATGTATTATATTAAAAAGTTAATCACCTCAATGTATGCATGTAAAGTTATTGCAAAATAACCCGAATTTTGGGTAAAATAATTTAACCTGCTTTTATAGCCCAACCGAAAATTGGATAATTGAGTTTTAATTGTATGAGGAATTACGATTTTGTTAATTACTTAATTGTTTTAAATTTCTGTTATAATTAAATATCCAGCACTAAAAGGACGTTAATTTGTTACAATTCGATAAAAAAATATTTTACACATGTAAAATAACTATGACTTGTTGTATGTTAACGTTTCAAAATTAAAACACAAAATATTCTGAGGATTACCAGAAAATCAACCAAACTCGTTTTACTCTTATGATTTAGCATTTGAATATTAAAAATTGCTTTGCAAATCAACGACGACAACAATCTCACACGATGCATAATGAATTTAGAACATCTAATGTGTATAATTAAATTAGAGAATTGATTCATATGTCAAAAAACATTTAAAACTCAAACCCACGTGAACTGTAGTAAATATGTATGTTAAAACATCGCGCTCACGAAATATTTAAGCTAATTAAATTATAGTGAGTTAACCACTGTTCCTCGTGTTACCGTTACATGAAGACAATATTTCGAAGAAATGGAAATTTGTTTTAAAACTCGTTCATTAATTTCGAGACACCACGTATACACAAAACGACAGAGCGGGCGTATAAAAAAATAAAATTAACAGAAAAATAAGACCACACGCTTTGCTAATTAAATTTTAAAATAACGTAAAAGAATACAGGAAAAAGCTACGTGAAAGACAATTTAAATAATGTTCAAGAACATAGGCTTCAATACGACCAATGCCCTCAGGGGGGCGCTCATCGCTAAGATACAAGCGGCCAATCATTTACACATGGGACTCCGGAAAAAACAAACAAACATGAAAGCAAAAGAATTATAAAACTAGAATAACTTCATCCGAGATTGGCCTTTTATCGGCCTAAAACCGAGACAACAGAAAATGCCATTGTCGCAAGGGTATGTCATTGTTAGCAGACTAATCAAAATTAAATGTACAAATGCAATAAACAAACGTGTATTATTATTATTATTATTATTATTATTATTATTATTATTATAAAATGCAACTATTTATGCAATGATCTGTATGCTGACCTTTTTGTGTTCCGTAAGGTGGTAGAGTTGGGAAAGTTGAGCGGTTGATCTTACAGCTTCCAGTTGGAATAGCAGTTCTGTCCCGGTGGAGTTCACAACACAACCCATAGTATCATTACAGGAGAAACCTGGCTCGAGGCAGGCTCCGTGCGGGAGTCGCGCGAGGAAGAAGGCGCGAGCAGGCGAGCGCAGAGTGTCCTGGTCCGAGCCGAGTCCTCAACTCTCTAGTCTGTCTGAGAGCGTCTTTGATGAGGTGAGCTCTCCCCTCATTAGTGATCCCTATTGCCCCTCAGAGCTCGGAGAGTTAACCGGCAGTCACTCCTCCCCTCTTATCTAAAACGAGAGGATTGACTGATCTGCTGCACAGACCCCTCCCCACGGGTCCTTTCCGCTCGGACCACAAGATAAATCTATTATTGATGAAGAATATCTCACATGATGAAACACGTATTTAAAAAATACGCGCAGAAAAAAACCGCGCAGTTTTTCACGCATTGTAACGGACTTTGCGCAGACCGGTGCCATTCGCTTTGTTTACGGCACATTGTCGACACCTGTTTTCAGTTGTTATCTATCGCCAGATACTATTCTACTAAGAGTTTACACACTTTGTTGTTTACGATTCAATGCAATACTAAAATAATTTAATTGTTATAAAATAATTTGATAATATCTGTCCACAGATACACACAATTACTCACTACAGATAGTTTTAGTAAGGTATACAGACATACTACTGTACTATCTATCTATCTATCTATCTATCTATCTATCTATATCTATATATATATATAATTCGAAATTATATATTTCAGTAAATAAAAATAATTTAAATGACTGAGCTGTTACTTCAATAATATTTTTTTTAGTTTTGGAACTGCAACCGTTTTAATTATTATTGTAACGTTACAATTATTGTAATAATTGTAGTTATTATTGTGCGTGATCCATTTTTCTTAATACTACCACGTTTTTTTTCCAAAAGGAAAATATTAAACCTGTCCATCCACTTTCTATATCTGCTTGTAACGTAAATGTAATTTAAATGGCGTTTATATTTCTACATATTTTTGTTACACAATAACATTATTGTTCCATAAAGAAATTATGTTAATTTATTTAACCTGGCTATATATTCGCGACTAAACTGACAAGTAAGTAGGTTGAATAAGTAAGTAGGTAAGTAAATAGATAGGTAAATAACTAAGTAAAAACCCTTATGTGTCCTATTTTTAATCGATACTCTGACGAATCAATTAGTCTGATGAATTCAGAAAATAAGTCACAGCAATGAGTGCGATTCCAATGTAGTAAAGGACACAACAGTCCAAACAAAGGGGGCTCTTGGGCTAAACGATATCCCAGTGTAAATGACACCACGGCGAGTACTTCAAAACGTTTAATCTGTGTTTTAATGCACCGTGTCATTGTACCAGAGTCTCCTAATTTTACAAGTCAGGAAAGACCAACTTCGATAATGAAACTAAACACAAGCGAAGGGCAAACTTCAGCTTAACTTGTTAAGTTTGACTTGGTGAGACCTCACAGCGAGGCTCGGGGCGCGAACCGGGAACCGGGCGCGATTCGAGTCGCTCGCACCGTTTGATCGAGCCAGTCGGCGTTGCTGAGATGAGTCGTCGCTACAGTAAATCTTTCGAGTTTTGACAGAATTCAGAGAAACATCTTGACCTCCTCTCTGTGCTTTCAAGTGTCCGGGGCAGATGTGTCATCCATCAATGCCAAGACGCAACATAATCCCCCGCGTGGTCACCACCCCTTCCCCGATGAGGAGCGCTAAGAACCAGTGGATCCTGTTTCCACACACTGGGCTCTATTTATCACTGGGCACGTTATAGCGAAGGAGAGGAAAGATCAAACAAGATCAGGGCCAGCCACTCGTGACACAGCAGACAATGACAGCGTGACAGAGGGGACACAGTTCACTGTGTCTCAAACGCAAAGCCCCCCCGCAGCCCCTTCCCGTCTAAAGAGGAAAAGACATAAAGTACCATTATTACTGATCTTTCAACTAACAGGATAACTTTTAAAGCAGCTTCTTGGTTTGACATTTAAACATGGGCACTGGCATTCTGGATTTGCACCTGTGAGAACATGCTATACTTTACAAATGCTAATGAGCTTTTCCCCGGAACCTGAACGCGGGACTGTGTATCGGGTCCAAGTCCTTGTACCATGACGAAGAGCCCGCCTGTGGCCAAGCGCAGTGACAGAGCAGAAACCAATGCCCCCGTGATCAATCACGCACATAGGTACAAAGACACCTGCAAACACTACTTGCTACATTTAACTCGCGTGTTTAGGGCACCGTGAAACGTGCTTCACCATTCACGCGAGTTTTGAGGCATGAAGTGAGTTTCCCCCGGCAGACGGGAACTCTGCATTTAAATTAGACGGGAGTGCAGACCCTCTCCTCCAGCTCTGAGAGTTGCCGCGGTGGCCATTGTAAGTGCACCTTGATGAGCTGGGGGAGGTGTACTGAGATTAATAGGCTTTCCTGAATGGAGGACCTAGCCGAGAGAGCCCATAGCCCCAACTAACAAGGCTGAGGCTAACGAGGCTGAGCCAGCTTCCATCCTCTGGACTGGGGTTCGGACCAAACTCACATCTGCCCAAAGGGGCACTAGGTCCCTCTCGCAAGTTAGATGAATCTACTTTTAGGTTAATCTAACGTCGTATAAAGCACGAATTTGTAATCTACACAAGCTGTTTTGGATAAGAAGTGTTTTCCAAGCAACTAGTACGTAGTATTTTTCTTAGGCAAAACATTTAGGAAATGACAACAATTGTTTAAGTCAGACGTGTTTAAAATAGATGTATTTTCAGATAAACACTTGACCTGTCCTTCACACACCTGAATTTATATGCTTTAATCGCTGACATGACTTGGGGGGGGGTTCTGTACTGCAGAAACCTCTGAATTCTGAACACCATGTTGTGTATCCCACAATGCACCGCTATGCTATTAATCTATGTGAAATGGGTTATTAAGTAACTTGTTATTAAGACGTTCTACTTGGCGTTTGTCCTGATTAGAATAGCTCCACACACACGTGCAAGGGCACAGCACAAAGTTGAATCAATTATGTATTGTATTTATATGCAGCGTTCATAAATAAACGATAAGTTACTGTCCATAAAGCCCTAAACCACACAGAATGGCAGATAAAACCTGGTGAAAATAAATTTAACAGGGGTTGAATAAACCAAATAGCGTGGGTGTTCTGACAGCATGTTTGGGCTGGTGTGTGCAAGGTTTTTCCAATAAATAAATAAACAAAACAGCAGTCACTTTTGGTATTTAAGGTCAGTTGGTGGCTGTCCATGTTTGTCCTATTCATGTCCCCCTGTCTTTGTGCTGAGTTGAGCTGTCTGAAGTGCCCGGACATCAATACTCGCACCAGCAGAGGCCTTCTCTGGTACGACGGACAGACAGGAACAAAGGCACAGGAAGGCCACCCCCCCCCCCGGTCAACCTCCTCCCTTTCAGGGTTAAAAAACGAGCTGGGGTTTTGAATTTAATGGCCCGCGCCTCTCGCTTTGCAGAGATGGCGAACGCGCCTGAACTCCTCTTCTGAGATTAGCCCCTGTTCCGCTCAGATAGACTCTACATCTACACGATAGACTCTACATCTCTCAGATAGACTTACATCTACACGACGTTCTAGTAAGTGTACGGCCGCTAGTGCAGATACCCAGTTAACTTTGTCTGAATATGCAGCTGGAGGTAATGGTTATAAAGCATGCCATAACTCTACTGCTTCGTACGTGAATCACTTTCTCTGATGGATAAGGTGGCAGGACTTAGAACCACAATAAAGATCTTTGTTTCACTAACAAGGGTTTGTGAATAGCGCACGTAGCGTGAGTTAGATTAAAGAGCTTCTGGTTGTAAAGAAGCATGGTTTCCCACAGATGGTGTGGCATGTGAAAGGAATGCATGATCATTAAGTAAAGTGGCTCACCTGATCGCCGTTCAGGTAACACACTGTCAGGTTCTGCTCCTCGAAGGACGGGGCGGTGCGGACATATTTCAGCCAGCTTCCGCTGCCCTCCAGGCCGGTGGCCACGCAGAATTTCACATTGCCCATGTCGTCCACTACCTGCCGGGGGGAGAGATACGGAGACAGAGATCAATGTCGGCGTTCAGGTTCTGCGTATTTTGTCAGATGCTCACTGGGCACGGCCGATAATTTTTTTTCGAACCTGGGAAACGAGGAGGGTTGGGTGTAGCGAGGGGGGGTGTTGGGGGGTTGGGGATGGCGAACTGGGTAAAAGCACTTGTTTGCGCACCCCCATATCGAGTTGCCACGGTGAAAGCGGGGCCGCGGGCGTGTGTGAAAATCAGCACATTCTTAGCACACATGCCGAGAGGTGTGGAAAGGTTGGTCCCAGCCGAGGCTGCCCTGTCCGGCCCCCCTCACCTTCTCCAAGCTGACGTGAGGAATTCTCCCCCTTTGTCAGGCTCTCTGGGTCTCAGCGGTGGATATGTGTTTGATTGGGGGGGGGGGTGGGGATTATCTTAACTGTGGAGCGGTGAGTTGGGGCGGGTCCGGAATGGCAGCTGTTTTGAGCGTGCCGGATCTGTCACAACTGATTATCCCCCAAAAGAGGACGATGGAAATCTGTCTCAATGTCCCGTGATTCCTTCACTCCTTCATTGTCCCTCCCATCCCAAGAAAGACAACAACGAAACGGTGCTTAAAAATGAAGTAGGGAGAAGCCCATTAATATGCAGTAAACAGAAAACAAGCCTCTCTGACAGCTGGTATGAGTCTAATCATGTACCTGATATGAGATGGTTGCTCTTGGCTCCGTTGTGAATTTGATTAAAGGCACCGTGGACAGCTGCTGCTACACCCCCACGTGTTGCTAACGTGACCTTCATAAGTACGACCTTCTATCACACATTATTTCAGTTTCTTCTTCTTCTTCATTTTGTATTATTATTATTATTATTATTATTTTATTTTGCCAGCCATCTGCAGGCCAGCATGACAATCAGATGTCGCAGGTCACTGGTCCCCTTCATGTGTCATGGTGAGGGCTGAGGTGCAGGGACTGGGAGGTGCAGGGACTGGGAGGTCAAGGTTCCGGGTGGTACAGGGACTGGGAGGTGCAGGGATTGGGAGGTCAAGGTTCTATGTGGTACAGGGACTAGGAGGTCAAGGTTCTATGTGGTACAGGGACTGGGAGGTCAAGGTTCTGGGTGGTACAGGGACTGGGAGGTCAAGGTTCTATGTGGTACAGGGACTGGGAGGTCAAGCTTCTATGTGGTACAGGGACTGGGAGGTGGAGGGACTGGGAGGTCAAGGTTCTGGGTGGTACAGGGACTGGGAGGTCAAGGTTCTGGGTGGTACAGGGACTGGGAGGTCAAGGTTCTATGTGGTACAGGGACTGGGAGGTGGAGGGACTGGGAGGTCAAGGTTCTGGGTGGTACAGGGACTGGAAGGTGCAGGAATTGGGAGGAGGCACTTGACTGGTAATTAATGCTGAAAATGTGCTGCCTGGCTTTTATAAGGGTCTAATTTCCCGTCCCGCTGAGCCAGATCGCAGTAGCAGATCCTCCCAGGTCCTGACAGTTGAGCCTTTAAGGCCTGAGATTTACTCTAATTACATGTCATAATGAGAGTACGCAGGGGTGAACTTTGACCCTGCCCCCCCAACCCCCTCCCCCATACAATCACATTCAGGTATGAGAGAATCTGGGGGCTGGTGTTAATCGTTGATCTCCTGAGCAGGGGGGGGGGGGTTGGGGGTGTTTAGTACACGAGAGAGGCGAGGTTAGTAAACCAGCAAGGCGAGGAAACCGTGGGGGCGTTAGTGCTGAGGCAGACCCTTCAGGGCCCGGGTTCAGGCTGCGGCGTCCGTGAGAGCGCAGGTGGGCGTCATGGCGGTGTGTCTGACGAGGAGAGGGTTCGGGACAGGTCACCCCCTCTTTTATTTAATTGTGAAACAATGAGGTGTGGTGGCACTCTGCTCGCACCCACGGCTTGCGGGGTGAGCTCCGAGAAGCGTGCAGCGGCTCCACTAACCCCTCCGTCTTTCGGCTGTTATTACGGCTTTTTTTCAGCTGCTGAAAGTATGACTCACTCTTACTGAACGAGCCGCCTGAGTCTGTTGATATTCAGCCCTCCGCTATTCAGGTCCACCCTGCTGCCCTTGACGGGGTCACTGAAAAACCCGGAACACGGCCTCGGGGTGACCCAACCCTGCAGAAACCCATCAGCATTTGGATGCTCGGCATTCTGGGAAAAAGTTGTTTTTATTTAAATTTCTGTCCACCGGATTGCGTAGCAGAGTCTCTGCGATGAGAGCCACCGCGCGGGTTACGCGTTAAACGTCCGGAAAGTGATACACACCAGACCTTTACTTTATGTGCGAAAAGCAGTCACTGAAAACTAACCAGGCGTGCAGCAGAATTAACCGCTCGCCAAAACACAAGGCATGGCCCCGCGTGGGGGCCCACCGTCACGTGGACGTCCGTCCACCGCCTACTGGGTCCAAAACCGTAGGCATTGTGCACATTTTATGAACAGATGGAAAACAGCTTAGGTCGGCCAGGGCGGTGGGGCACCTCGGAGGTAGCTGAGGACCCAATGGGGCCTAATGAGACGCAGGCGGCGGCCGGGTCTGCAAAGGCTCCATCTCCAGGTGTGGCTTTGATTTATAATGGACGTAATGAGGTGCAAGTTAAAAAAAAAAATGCCGACTGTTTGTTTATTTGCCTTATCCTGCCTACCTCAGACACCTGCGTGTAGTGCCACCCTACTACATGCCTAAAATACGACGGTCATGTGATGCTCTGGGGGCGGGCTCATAGACGCCAGGGGTCACACTGCATTTGTGTGTTTGACAGGGGTGGTGGTGGTGGTGGGGGGGGGGGGGGGGGGGGGGGGGGGTTGGAGTGGCTGTGTCTGGACCTGACAGATTCAGGCAGCTATTCTGAGCAGGTGTGTGTAAGCTGGGGGCCATTGTAAGCTTTTGGGGAGGGGGGGGCATATAAATGCCTCACTTCTCATAGGCTGATTTCCGGCCCCCCTTTGGGTAGGTCAGATGAGACACTAGGCAGGCAGCACCTCTCGCGGGCCTGGTTTGGGTCAGTGGTGCCGTGGATCAGTACCAGTGATCCTCTGGAGCTGCAGTGGTACTTGTTTCGGGGGTGGGGGGGGGGGGGGGGGATCCGCTTCACATCTGCTGCTCTGCGTACTTCAGATAATTTTTTTTTACATTCTAAAACTCTCTCCCGAATAATCCGCACGGCAGCGTGACAGGAGCCAGGGTGAGTTCGGAGTGCCGGCCGGCAGCATAACCCGCCAACCTCGGGCCCGTGGCTCGCGGGAAAGACAGCATCCCCTTCTCACCATTGAGTGCCAACTCTACGCTGTGTCCGCAGTGATGACATCATACGCCAGGAAAACGAGTGCTTTGCGGCGAAAGGATAAAAAATGTCAAATGTATAGGGCTACAAGGCCGCGAGAAAAGGCATGAACGCATGTTAAAGCACGGCATGCTTACATACACAGTCACAAAATGCTCGTCGGCCCTGACAAACGCTGCGGGGGCCCCAGTTTCACGGACGTAGCGGGCCGAGGTGCCGCCAGCTGAGATGCACTCCCTCTCCCTCTCTCTCTCTCCATTCGGGCCCCGGTGACAGGAAGTGCCATTAAGCCAACAGGAAATGAGATAAGGAGGCCATTGAATGAAGTCTATTTCACCCATCTGGAGATAAGGCGCAGACCGCCCCCACCACACTGAGGCCTCTCCAGCCTCTGCCAGCCAAACTCATCCAGGCTTTATCTTGTTCCGCTGGGGTATTTCCCTGCAGACTGGTGGTGGGTCTCCCGAAGTCAGCGGCCTGATGTATGATTACACCTGCAACCGATTTTTGGCATCGCCGCGGCAGAAACAGCGACCCCGTCTCTAGAATCTTCTGAGATAACCGGATGAAAAAAAATGCAAAATGCGGATTTAAAAGGGTCACAAAAAAAGCCAGATGTTTTCTGCTCGTTAGAATCCGTCTTGCTCATCACGTCATGAAGATGATGTACTATGGCATAGACCAAACCAGGTGGGACTGGAGGGATGTGTCTCTATCCCAAAAAATAGACCCTTGCATTTAAATGATTTAGTTATATCAAACTGTCCCAGTACCCTGTTTACGCTCCTGCACAAAAAGCTAAAGTTTGTGGTTCTCTGTGAAACGTTTATCTGGCGCAGCATCGACGGCTGAGTGCGGGTGCGGAACCCCGACGGTTTGTACCCATGCGGCGAGCTGCATCTCGGTCGAGGGCGGGAGGTGCAGCCCGAGCAGTTTCTTTTTTTCTTCAAAATGCAAGCCACAATGCGGAAAGTTTTGCGCAGGTTACTATTGAGTGGGGGTGGGGGTGTTTGACAAGGCCTGGGGATGCGTGTGTGAAGGAAGAGGTGACAAAGGTACCTGTGATGTGGGAATCTGAAAAAGTGAGGGTGATGTTGAAACACCCCCCAACCCCTCCCACGCATGCCAGAAGCCGCGGTGCAGTAACAAAGCATGCGTAAGTGGCCAAACGGGGGAAATCTGAGCTTTTATGGTGAGACTCGGAGACTTATCTACAAATTCTGGGGTCCCTATTGATAGATTTTTGCAATTGGAGGGGTGTAAGTGGTGGTTTTGCCCACTGGGCCCTCCGGAATTACATTCTCGGGCCCCTATAAAGTCCTGGGCCCAAATATATCACACTGCAAGACTCCCTAAGTTTTATAGGAGTCTGTGGGACTTCCTATGCTCTGTAAGAGTCTGCTGGAGTCTCTGCACCTGCAGGAGTCCCTACGCTCTGTAGGAGAATGCGGGAATCTGCAGGAGTCCCTACGCTCTACAAGACTTTGTGGGAGTCCCGACGGTCTGTGGGAGTCTACAGGAGTCCTACACTATACAGGGGTCCCTGCTCTCATACACTCTCCACAAAGACTCTCTGGCCCGTGAGTTTTGTTTCGTGGCGAGGACAGCTTGGCTGAGTGGCTTCGAAGTTCACACGCCTTGCACCTAAAAATTATAGGATGTCGAATAATTTCCTTTCAAAGAGCTTCACGGTCAAAAACAGGAAGAGTTTGCAAACACTTA